GGTGAGGAGGGGGGTGGAGGGCTGAGAGTGTCTGTGGGGTGAGGGGGAGGAGGGGGGTGGGTCAGTCAGGACAAGCTCTGCAGGTGCAAAGGTCCTTTCTCATTTATTCAAGCCCCCCGTGCTCCCCCTGGCTCAAGGTGCCCCCACTCTGTGGGTGCCAGCCCCCTTCACTTGGGGATGTCTGACCTGTGCAGCGGTAAGTGATTAGTGCCTTTCCTAGGGGCCTTGCGTGTCTGTTATTGCATCTACACTTAACTGTTTTAATAGAAGTTTTTAAGTTTTCCTACAAACATTGTCCTGCTTAATAATAGTAATAGCCAGGGCTTCAATTCTTGACTTTCTCTAAGTGACAGCCCAGCCAGCTGTAGGCCTTTACCAGTAGGTGCTGGGCCCAGTGTCATGTCCAGGTTGCAGAGTCACAACACAAGTCTCTAATTTGAGGTTGTGGCAGACGTGTCCTCTCCGGGGACAGGGAGTAGAAAGGGATGGGAACCACTGAGAGGTGGTCCTGAGAGGGGACTCACCTGCTGCCTGACTTGCCAAAGTGCAAGAAAAATGTGAAGAGGAAAATTAAAGACTTAAGATGGAGCAACATCCAGTGGCATTTCATAAATCTGAAGATTTTTGTGGGAAGGATATTTTCACTCTTTTTTTTTTTCTGCCAAAATGTGTGCTCTGAACTTAAAAGGAAATTTGTCACTGGAGGCATAGATCTTCTGACCTGGTCACATTGAATTCCATCTGTTTGGCTGCCCCACTTCTGACTTGAAGAGAACAAAATCAGAAATATACTTTGACCCCATTCCTAATGCAGGGCCTTAAACATGACAAACCTCTCCAGGAAGCAGGCGTGCCGGTCTGCTGAAGTGGGATCATGGGCATTTTTGTTAGATTCCTAAGATCTGAATCCTTGTGCTCATCTGTGAAAGGAAGAGAGCTCCACCTCCCAAACGCCGTGTAAGAATATGTCCCGTTCACCTCCCTTGCAGAATGTGGGCAAGAACAGGTCTGTAAGATCATGTGTGGCAAGGAGAAGAATTGGTTTATTTTCTCTTCCGCTGCAAAACCAAGGGGGTGTTGCATGAAAGTAGCCATGGGCAGGTTCAGAAAAAAACAAAAGGAGGTTGTTCTTCACGCAACGTCACACATGAAGGTTTCCATGCCACAGGATGCTGTAGCCTACTAAAAGTTTATAATGGGCTCAAAGAGAAACTGTACTGTGACTGTGGAGGACTATCGGTAGACTGTCATGATGACTTCAGAACCACAGAATTGTTGAATCATTTAGGTTGGAAAAGACTATTAAGATAATCGAGTCCCACCATTAACCCAGCATTGCCAAGTTACTGCTCAACCACATCTACTCATCTTTTAAACACCTCCAGGGATGGTGACTCGACCACTTCCCTGGGCAGCCTGTTCCAGTACTTGATAGCCCTTTTGGGGGAGAAATTTTTCCTAATATGCATCCTAAACCTTCTGTGGTGCAACTTGAGGCTGTTTCCTCTTGTCCCATTGCCTGTGACTTGGGAGAAGAGACCGACCCCCCCTGGCTACCCCCTCCTTTCAGGGAGTTGTAGAGAGCAATAAGGTCTCCCCTCAGCCTCCTTTTCTCCAGGCTGAACACCCCCAGCTCCCTCAGCCTCTCCTCACAAGACTTGTGCTCCAGACCCCTCACCAGCTCCGTTGCCCTTCTCTGGACCCGCTCCAGCCCCTCAATGTCTTTCCTGTTGTGAGGGAAATACTGTACACAGTATCTGTTGTGGGGCCTCACCAGTGCCAAGCACAGTGGGATAATCGCCACCCCAGTCCTGCTGGCCACACTATTGCTGATACATATGGATGCTGATGGCTGCCTTGGAAAGTCTCTCAGTGCTGTGCTGAGGGGAGGTACTCCTGAAAGTGCTACTGCACGCTTGGGCTGCTTTTATACTCCTGCCCAGGCATCTGCTTGTCAGCCTGCTGGAGACAGGATGCTGACCCACAGGAACCTGTGGACTGACCCAGCATAGCTGTCATTCTTTCCTTTCTTTCAATTAACTTGTTACACACAAAATTTTACAGACCACAATTTTAATTCTTGAGTTTTATGGTGCTTTATTAAAAACTTCAGCCCATTCTTGTGCTGCTGATTTTTGTCCATACTTAGAGTAACCACTGGGCTAAGGAATGCTTAATGAATGTGCCCGTTAGATAGCAGCTGCAGCTACAGCTGGAGGGTAAGACACGATACATCCTAGCCTCTTCTATACCACATTTTAGCTGCAAAACTGAAAACTGCTTTATGAAAGATGGCAAGTGCCACTATCTTGATTCAATACATGGCAATATGGATTAAAGATTTGGCCTCACAAAGACAAGCCAGAAGTCTCAGCCTGCCTTACCCACAGGACCTGTGGCTTCCAGCAGGTTGTACTGTTCAGCAACCGTCTTTGGGTGCTCAGACCCAATCCAGCCTCCAGCTCAAGGACCGCTGCAGAGAGAAGGTCTGGTGGGAGATGCCGTGCTTCTGTGGGCGGGAGGGATGGAGGCCGGGCTCATTCCCACTCGTCTGTGCTCACTACTGTTAGGCTTAGGGCACCATGTTTAAAATGGTTGCCTCTCTTGGCTGTAGCACAGCCGTAATGGCTGGCTGACCCGAAAGCCACACACTCCCTTATTCTCATAATGGCCCTCATCCCTCCAGGGGTGGTCACGTGAGTTCACTGAACCAGCAGAAAAATAATACTACTGTGAAAAAAAGGAAGTTTTCTGCCAGTTGTCTCCCTGAAGTAGCTCCCCCCAGAGTTATGAGCAGCAGGGCCAGCCCCAGGATGGTGGTGGGAGGGTGCCAGGGCGTGATCTCTCAGTGCCTGCTAGATGTCGGAAGGACTAAGCCATAAGGCCAAGCCTGAGCAAGAAGAGACATTTGAACATCTCATTTGGGGACAGAAAAAGAGGCAAGAACAAGTCAGCGCATGTCTGCTTCAGTTTCAGAGAGAACGGCACCGCCGTGATCTTCTGCACTGTGCCAGCCATTAGCCTGGCTCAGGCAGCCCACTGTCACCACTGCGGTCCTGCCCAAGTACATAGTGCTTCCAGGTCTGGATGGGACCTCTAGGGATGGCACCACTGCTTCTTGTGGCATTTCTCCTCTATCCTCTAACAGAGGGGCAACTGGCTACCTCTGAGCTGTGGTCTGGGAGGGGATGGACCTGAGGCCACGAAGGTGATGTGGTTCTTCACGGTCCTGGAGCAAGACTTCCCTGAAAGAGTTAAGAGGAGGGCTCCTCCTTTCCTTTACATAAGTCTCCTCCTGGGTGACCTTCCCAGCAGCCTTTGCTGGCTCTGCCCCAACCAAACAAAGAGGGCAGGAGCTTTTCAAACAACAGCCTCCCATAAAGTTGGCTGCTGCAGAGCTGGGCTGTGCTGGGACCCTGGCACACCGGAGGATGCGGCAGCGGCAGCAAGTTGGTGTCATCACCTGGGAGGATCCCGGCAGTCGCCTTTAGTCCCTGTATGTGGATGATCTGGCTGTTTGCTTCCGTGGTGCATTAAGCTGGTTTGGGTGCTGGGAGCGTGATGGGGAAGGATGGACAGAAACTTGTCAGTGGTAGCTTGAGAGGGGTGTGAGCACCAGGGAGGGGTGGCAGGGGCCTGGTGACAGTGAGCTCTGTGGCCCATCTGCTCGGCACACAGACCAGGGATGTGCTTGGAGTGGAGATGCAGAGGTCTGGTGCCATACTGAGACTCAGTGGCACAGCTGGGAGTGGCATGTCCAATCTGACATGCTGTGCTGCTGTCCTCCGGACCATTCTTCAACTCAGAAACTTGCCTAGCAATTTTCCAGCAGAGGTGCAGACCCTCTTTAGAAATTGCAGGTGTGTCAATAGGTGGATTTAAGGCAGCAAACAATCATAAAGCTGCTGCAGCCAAGACACAGCAGATGACCAGGAATGGAGGTCCATGAGTGCTGCTTTTGGATCTTGTCTCTGTGTTTTTCTATCCCTTCATTCCTGCACCTCTGGGCTGTTGATGAGAACAGTGCTATTTACTGCCATCTCTTCAGGTGAACTGCTCCACTTGAGGTGGTGGACAGTGTAGTCAGTGTCTCTAAATGCCACCTGAGGCTGAAAGTGTTTGTCCTGTGTGTTGCATCATCCTGCAACTGGGTGTTTCATTTTTCCTTCCTATTTGTTGGCTTTGGGTTGTGGAGCCACAGCGGCATGGTGGCATGGCTACAGAGGGCTCTCCCTGAGCCCCAGAAGATCCATGTGATCAGTGGGTTATTCTGCCAACAGCAGCTCTAAAACACTAGTGTTCATTTATCATGATGATACAGTCTGTGTGGCCTCGTTAGAGGACTTGCAGGATGGGGGTTTGTCTTCTAAGGGCTTGGAAACTTCATACTAATGCGAAGTAACAGCCTGCAGAGAGTTGGGATTAGCCCCAGTTCCCATTGGCTGCACTGTCGAGTAGCTATATAGATTTGGAACAGCAGAAAAAGGAGATTTTGGGGTTTCTCTCTAATCTACAGAAGGAAGTGAATTTAGCAGTTTAGCTGAAACACTTCTAGGTGAATTAAGTCTTCAGCAGTAGTCTCTGAACATCTGGTCTGCCTTGTCTCGAGGTCTGAGGCTGATTCTTGCAGTGGACACCAGCAACTAGGCCATGGAAAAGCTCAGGACTCCAAGACTGTCTGCATCTGCATGTATTATGCAGAGATTAGTATTTTGGGGCTCTTAGCTGGAAAACAATGCACCTTTTCTCTGTTTTCCTGCAATACCCTGACACATGCAATATCCAAAGCATGCCCTGATGCTGTAGGAATATGCCTGCTCAATGTTAACCTTCCTCAGACATCCTGATTTGACCACAGGGAACAAATAACATGTTACACTTTGCAGTGATGTATTTGTTTCCTCTTCAGGCACATGAAAGACACTAGAAATTCAAGGTATGCTTGTGGTTTAGCCTCTGCAACTCTCTCTGCTGGAAGGGCTTGCATCACTGGAAAGAAGATGCTTAAAGCTGCAAAACACTATAAAGAGAGGTTAATGTTGACTGTACAGATAAAAGCAGGGCAGCGTGATACTTGGTATTCATTGCTCTTGTCTGAATACTTAAGCTCAGCTTGACAAGTTTGTCCAGTCCCAGGGCAGAGATGGATTTCTCAGCCTGGTTGTGAAATCCAGCCTGTCTCTCTCCCCGAGGCCTTTCCAGGTGCTCTGTGAAAGCCTCTTGTTCCTTCAAGCTGTGGTTCCACAGTCATTAATATCAGGTTTTGGCCCTCCAGTTCATTTCTTAATACAAATCCAACCTTTACAAGGTACAGTAAGAGTGGCTGACTTTTGTGATCTTGGAAGAAATGGCTGGAATAGTGTACTATCTGGAGGGGGGATGTGTTACTCCAACTGACAGCCCTTTTCTCCTACCCATGATGTAAGCGAGCAGGATTTGAGCTGGATTTTGCCTTGCCCTGCACTCATCTCCTGCTCGCCAGCTGGACTCTGACCCACAGCCTTCTTTTCAGAGTCTTCTCTGAAATGGGTTTCCGGGCCTTAGTCTGTCTCTGATCAATAAATATGTCTTTTTAAAAAGCCCTGCTGCAGAGAAAAGTACGGTTCTTGAAGCACAAGGAGCCTGGATGAAGCTAGCCCTGGGGTACTGATGATATCTCCATGGAGCTGCTGCTTACAGCCATGTGCTACTGGTTTGGAGCCATTCTGTGGAGCCATGAACTGCAGCAAGGAGCCATCCTGGCCAAACTTCTCATCCAACTGCCCCTCCAGCAAACAGGGGGGCTGTGGGGCAACACCCTGCATTGGGAATGCCGAGCTGACGTGGGGTTAGTGGGGCAGGTATGGTCTGTGCCTCCCCTGAGCCATCCCCAAGGGAAGGCAGAGCAGCAGGAGCTCTGAGGAGGGCTGGGGAAGGCCTGGAGGGGATGAGCAGGAGAAGAATGAAGGAGCTGGGAAGTGGGGATGGTACAAAGTGAGACACGTCTTCAGTCAACGCATCTCCAAGGCACTCTCATCATCTCTCCTCCCTTATGGAGGCTGGATGCAGGCGTGGGGCACTGGCTTTCCTCGCATTTACATAAACTGTGTTTCTGTCACTAGCTGTTCAGATAGCTACACTGCTTTGCTTTTGCTCCAGTGTCCTCTAGCCATGTCTTGAAACACTCTGGGAGGATGGCAGAACTTCTTGCTAGGGACTGGGCTCCCTGTATCTACAGTCATAGGAAGCTGAATGTGGTAGTTTCCTTGTAGCATCTACCCTTGGCATGGAGAAGGTTGGGTCTTTCTGACCCTCTTGCTCCGTAATTGCTGTCTCTGCAGCTAGGGACATCTGTCTTCCTATATCCACTCCCCCAGCTCTTATCTACAAGGTCCCTAATGCACATAGCAGAATGTGGGGAGGCCTTTGGATGTAAACAGATCTGGGTCAAAGTACAATGTACATCTCTGGAGTTAATGTCTCTCTCTTTTGCCATGGAAGGAGTAAAATACAGAGGGGCACAACTCTTGTCTTGAATTAAGTGGCTCTGTTTCTCCCTGTGGCTTTCTGTAGCTGATGTACAATAGTCTCTGTGCCTCCCTGGCCAATAAAACACTTCATTGTTAAGATCCATATATGCCTGGGGAAGTGGGATTTGGAAAAGGCTCCTATATCACATCTGCTTGGCAGTGACCACTTGAGGTAGCCTGTATTACGCATTTCTAATCCGAAAAGTGTTTTGCTGTCTTACGGGAATTCTTAGAGGCTATTTATTTTGATGAGGCAAAATCCAAAAATATGTCCTTTAGGCAGAAGTTGCAGCACTGAGTGTCTGAAAAACACCTGCAGATCAAGGAAGCTGAGAGGAAGTGGAGAAAACCCTCCAACATACTTGTATACAGACATACATGGATATGTGTACATATACGGAGGTAAAGCACTGGAACAGGTTTCCCAGAGCAGCTGTGGCTGCCCCATCCCTGGAAGTGTTCAAGGCCAGGCTGGATGGGGCTTTGAGCAACCTGCTCTAATGGAGGTGTCCCTGCCCAGGGCAGGGGGGTTGGAACTCGATGATCTCTAAGGTCCCTTCCAACTCTAACCATTCTGTGATTCTATGATATCCCCGTGTATATAGGTGTATATACACACATATACACAACTCCTAGCACTGTCCGTCCTGCCCTGGCCCAGCTGTGATGGCTGCAGCAAGGGAAGGGGCTGGTCCCGCCGTGTTGCTTTGCTGCGGGGTGCGACCCAGCAGGGAGGTGTGCACAGGGGCCGTAACAGCAGCACAGGCCCTGCTACGCCACTCATGTGCACACAGCGAGTGTGACCATGTCCTGGGCCGCTGTCCTCTGACTGACACCACCAGCCAAGGCTGTACGTGTGGGGAGAAAGGAGAAGCACAGGAGGCACAGTCATTGCATTTATACATGTGCCTTCTTTACAACTGGTATATAAATGGTTGCTTTTGCTTCTCCCAAAGGCTCGGGGCAGTGCCGTCTCCAGACCGGACGGTCAGGCTCTGCAGCACCAACGTTTCCATGCAGTTGCTGTCAAACGTGGGCATCCCCAGTTCTACTCATCATAACCTTCCAGGCCACCAAGGAGACGCAAGGCTCCAGCAGGGACCTGCCAGCCTTGTGTGATGAACTGCCGCTTGCCAGGACTCACACTGAGCTCCTCGGGATGCTGAGGTACTGCTCGGGACCCTGATCACTCCCGATTCCTCGCTGTGCTGCTGGCAGTGGGGAATCGATGTCCAGTTTGGGACACTGGGCAGAGCCGATCCATTACCATTGTCTGTGTTCTTGAGGGACTGGGGCACTGGGCTGGACGCCACGCTCTGAGGGGGCTCCGCATGAACAAGGGACAAGGTTTGGGCTGTCCCTAGTTGCTCGGGTGGGAAGACCTGCCTCCTTCCTCCTCTCTGTCTGGGAAGTGGGTCACTGCTGGAAGCTGGGGATGTTGCCACGTGGAGCAGTGGCCAGGCCCAGCAGCCTGGTGGCAGAGAGCTAGCTGAGCCCGGACACCCTGGTGCTGCCCGGGGGGCTGCAGTGTCCCCACGGCAGCCCTGCTCCGGGGATGTAGGTGCTGGGTGCAGGAGGTGCTGGGAGCGATGGGCAGGCTGGACGACCATGCCAAGAGGAGGATCGTGGAGCTGCGCAGGGCTGGGCTGAGCTTCCGCAAGATCAAGAAGGTGCTGGAGCTGGACGACATCCAGGTGACGCCGCAGGCTGTGTACCTCTTCCTCAAGCGTAAGAGCGTGGAGCCGGGGCCGGTGGCAGCTGGCTGGGATGGGGACCAGCCCTGGCCACCACTGCCAGGGCATGAGGCTGAGCCACCCGAGCTGCTAGGTGCCCGGCCCCCGACAATGCCTGGCGGGGTCCCTGCGGGCAGCCGAGTCCCCTGCCCTGCTGGTGGCCAGGACACCAAGGAGGGCATCCAAATTGTCGGCGTGGCCTCACTGTGCAAGGATGGCAGGCAGCTCAGGGAGAACCTGCCTGTGGGACTGCCCCCCAGGAATGGTAAGGCCTGGCTCCCCGTTGGGGGGTCACCGCTATGGCCACCCCCCGGCAGTGCTGGGCTGGGGAAAGCGCTCCTTGTCCCCTGCTGGGAGCCTACAGGGGCCTCCTTTCAAGGCGTTACTCTCTTTGTCCCTTGCAGATGATGACAGCTCTGCAGGTTCTCCCTTGGCTCCAGGGAGCTGCCACCCTCTGGGGATGCCAGCCACCCCCCCACAGTCCCTGCCCAGCCCAGGGCGGTTGGTTGCACCCCCTGCCAGGAACCCAGCCCTGATGGTGAAGAAGAAGATGGTGGACAGGGCTATCCTCCTGCAGAAAACGGTAGGATGCCAGATGGCATGGTGGGATGGGGGAGCCCATCTGCTCTGGCCAGGACCTGGTGTGGTGCTGCCCACTGGGACAGCCTCAGAGAGTGCCCTGCTGCATCCAACCCATGCAGATGGGCAGGCCATTGGGGATGAAAGGCTCCTGAAATGACCCCAAATCTCTTCTATCTGCATGCTCAAGCAATTCTTGTCCATGGCAGTTGGCAAGCTCGTCTGGGAAGCCCGTCTGTGCACTGGGGCCACAAGGCGTGATGCCCATGTGCCTGCAGCCAGCACCAACTGCTGCCCTTGGGTGATGCTGGACATGGTGATGTCCATTTCTGTCAGCACTGGCCCCCAACCTGCAGCTCACAGACCCCCTCTTTAGGGCTTGGTTTCAGTACCAGCTCAGGAGGTTCCCCAAGCCACCACGAGGACACCAGCAGTTTGGTGCTGCACCAGGAGATGAAGGGCTGTGGCAGGCCAGGATGGGGTGACTCAGACAGGATGGCTGCTCTCTGGGACGCATTCAGCTGCTGTAATCCTTAATGCGTACACCCCAGCCTTTCCATGCCACGAGATTGCCAAACCATGGCCATGCATGCCTTGTCCCAGCACATCCACATCCCTGTGGCCATCCCGCCCACCATGGTGAGCGTGCAGCTGCTTGGCCAGCTCCACGGTCAAGCCCAGTTCTGCTGGCAGCTGCAGCGAGCCACGGGGCAAACATAAATGACCCAGCTGTCCCAGGACCAGCCCTGGGTAGGCTGCCAGCAGGGCAGAATGGCCATGGGGCTGCCCCAGCACCCAAAGTTTACCCCTTCAGAGCAGGCTCCAACCTTCAGAGACTTCACTGCTGAGCCATGCTGTTTCCCCCACAGAGGAAGGTAGGACACCAACCTTTCTCGCCATGGTGTCCTGCGTACACAACACAGTTGTGAGCCAGGCTGAGCCTTCATTCACAGGCCTGTCTTTGTTCAGACACAGCAAACACCTTCTCCAGCCCACTCAGGTGTTTCTCAAGATCCTAGCCAGCTGCTTGAAAGGACACAGATTGTTCAATGTCCTTTCCGGGAGGAAGGCTTCCCTGAGGTTCAAAATCAGCATGTGACCCCTCTCAGGGAGCAGAACAGCCTTTTGCTTCAGGGTGCAATACAAGAACTGATGGGGCTGGAAAGAAAAACCCAGGATACACTATTTCTGTCCCTTCAGGGAGCAAACACAGGCCTGGCATCATCACAGGCAGCCTGATGGCCACCGAGCAGCATCCCCCACTGTGTGGCTATGTGTGTACTGACAGTGTGCAGAGCAGCGGCACTGCAGGGGCTGAGTGGGGATGAAATGCAGCTCAGAGCATTGTGAGGTCTAGAGGTCCACAACAACGTCATGGCTTTCTCTCGTGCCTTGTAGAATCATAGGATCACTGAATATCAGGTTGGAATGGACCTCAGGGGTAATCTGGTCCATCCTTTCTTGGCAAAAGCATGGTCTAGAGAACATGGCCTAGTGCCCTGCCCAGCATAATCTTAAAAGTGTCCAATGGTGGGGAATCCACCACTTTCCTGGGGAGATCATTCCAATGGCTGATTGTTCTCATTGTGAAAAATTTTCGTCTTGTTTCTATTTGGAATTTCCATAGGAGTAAATTGTACCCATTACCCCTCTACTTTTCCATGTGACTCCTTGTGAAGAGGAAGTCTCCATCTTCTTTGTAGCCACACTTTAAATACTGGAGCATGGTCATAAGTCTCCCCTAAGCTTACTTTTCTCAAGGCTGAACAAACCCAATTCTCTCAGCCTTTCTTGTAGCTTAGTGCAGAACAAATACTTGTTTTGCTCATTGCCATTAAAGAAGCAGCTGATAATGTTTCACCTTCCCTTCTCTCCTGCCTCTCACTACTCCAGGTCACAGATGCCAGCACTCAAACTGCCCTGCTGAACCCTGCAAGTCCTGGAAATCAAAGCACTGCTTGGGCAGGACCAGTACTTCCCCCTGCTCCCAGCTCCATTGCTGAAAAGCTGGATGCTGTACAGATGGAGGTCCAGAAGCTGAGCCAGGCCCTGCAGGCAGTGCTGGAGCGGCAATGCCGCTTGGAGCGGCAGCAGGAGCACCAGCAACGGCTGCAGCAGGAGGTGCTGATGACACTGCAGCAGCTCAGTTCCACCGTGAGCCACAGCATGGTGCCAGCTAACCAGCCCTGTGTCCCCTTCAGCAGTATGGCTGAGCCCTCGCCCACTGTGCCAAGCTTCAGCCAGTTCAAGATGGAGCTCATCTGACCTCACCTGATGCCAGTATGCTCCAGCAGTGCTACACTGGTGGCAGGATGAAGTCATGAAGAAGAACCCCCTCTCAGAGGCTGTGGCAGCTGCCTAAAGATTATTTGGAGCACCCAGCAGAGAAGGTCACTGGTGTCTCATGTTTTCAGCCCTGTTGATTGAAAAGAAAGAGCTGCCTGGGACAAGGGGCAGGGCAATGGAAAGATGAGGCCTTGCTTCTCCCATGCTGCCCATCCTGGCTGACACTGGAGCTGGCTGGTGGCAGGCTGCCTGCAAGTAGAAGATACAACTAAGAGAGACACACTAGGGAGGTGGGTCTCAAAGAAAATGTGAGGCTTCCTCTCACGTGGGTCAGTGCCATGACGATGAATCACAGAAATGCTTTGTGCCCTCTCTCCACAGAGCCTTGTTCAGTAAAAATCTCCATACACCATGGTTCAGAAACTGTGGGGTCTCATTCTTCATCTTACCTACCCCTTACCCCACCAGCGAACAGGTTGGATCTGTCTTGGGTGCTGCCATCATGTGTGGAGCTGTACAGGGTGCTCAGACTCATGAGGTGAAACCACTGCTCCACACATGAAGGATGCTACCGGAGGCCTGGTGTCAGCTGCCGCAGGGAGCTAAGTGTGTTAGGGTCACACTTGTGTTAGGGCTATGTCACACTTGTGTATATCACACTTGTGTAGGAGCAGATTCCACCTAGGTCACCCTCCTCACCCCAAATTCTCAACAGATCTGGAGTCTGGCACTGCTCCTGCCCACTGCTGGGCCAGGATACGTGCAGGACCATACAAGAACAGGTTGCACCTGGGCATATTTGTCTCTCTTCTAAGCCCTTTTTCTGGGCAGGACATCCTCACTGGCTGTGGTCCCTAGCAGCAAGGGCTCTCCCTGGTGTAGGCTGCTGGTGGCGCAGAGCTGCTCAAGCAGAGAGGGACACAATGTGGAGAAGCCCCTTGCCTGGAGAAGGGCTCAAGGGAGGGTGATGTACTTTCCCTGCAGCGGTGGAGTCCAAAGGGACTGGAAGCTCGACTTGCCTGCCAGGTGGAAGGGTCTGCTGAGGGGTGGCCTTGGTTCATCACCCAGCAGTGAATCTCGAGAGGAGACAGTAGGGAGTAGGAGTCCTCCCTCTGCATCAGCCAAGCAGGCTCCTTTCCTTCTGTCCACCACACTTAGCACAAACTTTGCCCAGAAGAAGAAGTTCTCAGCCTGTTTTTTTTGAATTCCTTTAGTCTGAGGTCAAAATTCAGAAGTGTAAAAATAATTCAGGTATTTGTATACACACACACGCATACACGCAGATCTGCATACACACACACACATATATATGTATAAATACATCTGGGCATTTTGGAGGTCCTTGCAGCAACCTCGGTAGGTGGGGGAGCTGGACAACCAGTCTGCCCCCCCCCACCCCCAGCGCTGTTAGACTCTATCTCTGCCACTGTGGCCAGGAGCATTAGGAGTCTGCTGCAATCTCCCAATGGTCATTCATTTCGATGTTGGTGTAATTTTGAGGATGTCTGAAAAGCAACAGACAAAGAAAAATGGAAGATCAGTTGCTCTGCTCTTTTGCACAAGGCAGCTAATCTGCATCTCATCTTTGCACTTAAAATGAAGGGGCTGGATGACCAGCCTTCAGCAGGCACAGAGTTTACTGAGATCTCCGTTAACATTTTGGAGAAAACAGGAGCAGAACACCTGCCATCACATGGCACGTACATCATGTACAACTCTGGTTTCTGAAAGAGATTCCCTAAACCCGACAAGGTTATTTTTAAAATTTCTTTTAAAAATACAACCTAAGTTTTCTATTCCCCAAACGTATTTTAAGAACTTTACTCATTTTGAACACTTGCACACCAGCACCCTATCCAATGATAAAAGAAGATCAGTAAAGGTTCATGGCAGTAAATCCCCCGGGCTGGTTAAATAGCCCACCTACTGTAATATTTATTTCAGACAAACATGCAGCCTGACTGTTAAGCTGCTGTTTGCCTGCTGACAACATTAGAAAATGCCAAGTAATTATTTAAAGTGGTGTATTGTTATAACGTGAAAACTGTTTCCATCAAGATAATCCTAAACTGTCTGTTCTTCCACCCCACTCTAAGAAAGAGCTCTTCCCTGTGTTCAAAGCAACATCCCACTGCCCCTTGCATGCCACGAGCCTTCAGCTTTCTGCTCTCCCACCACAGCACGTTGTAAGTAAGATTGATAGCCTTTACACTGTGCCCACTGACACGCCTAGCATTATCCATGGTTTTATTGGTGGTTATCTGAACCTCTAGCAGAACCTGGAGTCTGCCACATCAAAATCAAAGGTGCTTTGGATGCAGCATCTGAATGTAGGTGTTCGCCTGAGTGAAGGAGCAGGTCTCTGTGCAGCAATTAGAGAAGAAGCACTGGGGAAGGAGAGGGTGAGAGATGAAAGGCAGACGGGAAAGTGTTTCTCACCTTTTGATGAAGTAAAATGCCAGGCTGACGAACAAGAACACAAGCAGGAGACATCCCACGACAAACAGGGTGATTTTCCAGCCCTGGATGGGAGCTGAGGGTACAAAGGTAGAGACACACCATTGTAGCCATGACCTTTCCCAGCACAGGGTGCCATCAGGAGGGCACAGAATCAGAGGGTCACAAAATGGGTTGGGAGGGACATTTAAAGATAATTTAGTGCAACCCCCTGCCATGCACAGGGCCATCTTTCACTAGCTCAGGTTGCTCAAAGCCCCGCCCAACCTCACCTTGAACACTTCCAATGATGGGACACCCACAACTTCTCTGGGCAGTGACAGATTGGACTGTCCCAGCTTCCTGATCTGGAGAGTCACTCTTCCACCCACCCCGGCTGCACACCCCATGGTGTGCTGGCTCCAGCCTGGCTGCCAGTTGCTGCTCTGAGCAATTGGCCTTCTGGGCTGTGTGTCCAACAGCTCCAAAAACAAGGGGCTCTCTAGTGAAGCTCAGTCTCAGCAGAAGGTTTAGACACCCAAACTTCAAGTGGTATTGGCGGGACAGTACCCCATCACACCAGAGGAACCGACCACCACATTAACTCTCTTGTAATGACCCAACAGTTTCTAGAAGGCAGCTGTGTTTGGGAAGCATCACCAGAGGTCCCCTGTGGCTTGCCCTGCATTGCCTCTCTCATGTGGAGATGTGTCTTGATCTGGCCTCACATGATGTGATGGAAACCTCCTACTCACCAACACTGTGCAACACAGACGGTACATTTTTTGGGGCAACACACTCGGGACTGGTTTTCAGCACTCTCCCATCCACAGAAAAGGGGTGGGGGCTGGCCATGAAGCCTTGGTGCCAGGTCTTGATGGACTGCTGTTGCTCTGGCTCGCGAGCCCACACCTGGCCCCAGACCTTCACCAGGGAGTCCACGCACTTCAGGTTCAGCTCTGCGGAAAAACAACAGAGGGTCTTGGGGGTTGGAAACCCTCTGGCTGTTTGGGAACACATTGCTCCCATGACTTTAGGCCCAGCTCCAGTAATACCCTCCTGCTCTCAAGCTCTTCACCCTCTTCTCCCCACTGCTCTGAAATCACGCTGCCATGCTGTATCACAAGTAACATGAGCACACGCTCAACCTTTCTTTCAGTGACTAAAGGAACTCGGAGTTGTCGTCCCAACCCAGTAGAATACTTGGTACTGCACTTTGTAACTTTACAATCTCTATCCATTGGTGAGAGCTGTCTGAACTTGTTCAAAGGGTCCAAAAGGTGTTTGGGCAACTTTGTATGGCTGCAAAGCCCTCACTTCCTTACAAAACCCACCAAAAAATAGGAAAAAATTCTTCTCATCTCTTAAAAGTCCTTAAGACTTCTAGAAGTAGCTTTTTGGTCCAAGTCCTTTGAATAAGTATAGGACATGGAAGGAGTCTGACAGAGAAAGAGCTGAGAACCAGAGTGCTCTAGAGTGCAAATGGCTTTTTGCTTTGTGGGTTTAGGATATTCAGTTTGTCTGGAAGACATCTTAAGGCATCATCAGAGACTCCCATTCCTCACGGTCCCTCTAGCCTGCCCTTCCTCTAGCAAGCAGCCCGTGTCAGGCTCTCTCCTGCTCTCTTCACTGAAGTCCCATGTACCCACCGCTGCTCCTCCAGTTCCCCTCACTCGAGTGCAAGTCTGCAAGTTTGGCTTGAGAAGGGACCATCCTGATGACAAGCAGCTGTGGATGGGTGAGGGAGGAGGGCACTGCAAACCAGATAAGTGGAGCAGGGCACCAACCTTGCAGGTAGAGCTCAGAGATGCCACAGGAGCACTCCTCCTCTAGGGAGCTCACCAAGACCCTTCCCAAGCTTTCCAGCATCCTCCTGTGGTGCAGGGTCCACATGGAACAGTCTAAATGAAAAAGAGAGGTGGTTTTCTGGGTGCAGCTCCCAGCCATGTGCCCCTTCTAAAACACTTGGCTTCATGCCTGAGCTCAGGAGCAAATCTCCTCCAGGGCCTGCATCCCACCCTCCTCTGCAGACCATCCTCCTCTGACCCCGTCCTGCAGGGTCAGTCTTCACTTCTGGCCTTCTACCATCATGTATAGCAGATTCACTCCTTCACCAACCTCCCAGGGGAGTGGAGAAGAGGTATGCCCCACATGTCGCACCACATGGGCCAGTGCAGAGTGGTCTCTTGTGCTTGGAGAGAAGGGAGAGGTCCACTCCCTGCCCCTCAGGAGGCTGGAGGAGGAGGAATCTCCATTTCATTTTACCCAGATCTTGACCGCCCCAAGTGGATCCAAGCAGGGCCTTTACAGGGGTTGGCAAAGGGGCTGAGACAGGAGGGGTTGCTGGCAGTGTCCCTGATTTTGCCCCTGCCACCATGAGAGATCTGAGGGGGGCAGGGGGTGTTCCTGCCATTACTGCAAACCTAACTCTGCAGAAAGAAATCCCAAGAGCAAGGCTCAGCCCTGCCTGAGCAGAGATATCTCTAAAGATGTGGCCACCTTCATACAAGCAGATGCTGAAGCTGTGAGGGAGGCTGCCCTCTTCAGATGGCAGCATCACATCAACACGGGTGTCTGCACCAGCTCTGCCCCAGCACGTCCTCTTTCACGACCAGGAGGCAGCAAGTCCTGCCAGCATCTCCCTCCCATGCCACGGGAAGCCTTCTGTCCCCCAGCCCAGCCCTCCCACCCCGCACCAGTCGGGGCACCCAGCTCCACTCACTAGGTGTCAGGAAGCAGAGATGGAGATCCACCGCAAAGGTGTCCTGGGGACAGCTGTTCTGCAGACCAGGGGTAGGGTCCGAGATGGCAAACTGCAGCTCTGCACTGGCATTGCTGCCGGCGCAACGGCTCAGGGACACAGGCCTGTCCTCAAAAGAGAAGTCAGAGCTCACCAACACGACACACATATTTCTTCCCACCTTCAACCACAAATCCCTTGCGGGCTACAGTTCCTGACATTACTGGGGATGATGGAGAGTTTGCTG